AAATTTCGACGACGCGAAAAAACCCGAAAGGGTACCACTGTCGTTTTTTTTTTCGGGTCAAAATTTTACGTTCTCTGATCTTCTTTAAACTCTGGATTATGATAGAGGGCCCTGAGAATTAGACCTGAGTGGAAAAATGGAAGCTCTAGACCCTTCAGAGCTGAGATATCGAAACTCAAAATTTCGACCCGAAAAAAAACGAAAGGGTACCACTGTCGTTTTTTTTTTCGGGTCAAAATTTGACGTCCTCTGATCTTCTTGAAACTCTGGATTATGATAGAGGCCCTGAGAATTAGACCTGAGTGCAAAAATGGAGGCTCTAGACCCTTCCAGAGCTGAGATATCGAAACTCAAAATTTCGACCCCCCAAAAAAAACGAAAGGGTACCACTGTCGTTTTTTTTTTTTCGGGTCAAAATTTTGACTTCCTCTGATCTTCTGAAACTCTGGATTATGATAGAGGGCCCTGAGAATTAGACCTGAGTGCAAAATGGAGGCTCTAGACCCTTTCCAGAGCTGAGATATCGAAACTCAAAATTTCGACCCCCCAAAAAAACGAAAGGGGTACCACTGTCGTTTTTTTTTTTTTTCGGGTCAAAATTTTGACTTCCTCTGATCTTCTTGAAACTCTGGATTATGATAGAGGGCCCTGAGAATTAGACCTGAGTGCAAAAATGGAGGCTCTAGACCCTTCCAGAGCTGAGATATCGAAACTCAAAATTTCGACCCCCAAAAAAAACGAAAGGGGTACCACTGTCGTTTTTTTTTTCGGGTCAAAATTTTGACTTCCTCTGATCTTCTTGAAACTCTGGATTATGATAGAGGGCCCTGAGAATTAGACTTGAGTGCAAAAATGGAGGCTCTAGACCCTTCCAGAGCTGAGATATTGAAACTCAAAATTTCGACCCCCAAAAAAAAAAACGAAAGGGGTACCACTGTCGTTTTTTTTTTTTCGGGTCAAAATTTTGACTTCCTCTGATCTTCTTGAAACTCTGGATTATGATAGAGGGCCCTGAGAATTAGACCTGAGTGCAAAAATGGAGGCTCTAGACCCTTCCAGAGCTGAGATATCGAAACTCAAAATTTCGACCCGAAAAAAAAACGAAAGGGGTACCACTGTCGTTTTTTTTTGGGGTCAAAATTTTGACGTCCTCTGATCTGCTTGAAAATTCTGGATTATGATAGAGGGCCCTGAGAATTAGACCTGAGTGCAAAAATGGAGGCTCTAGACCCTTCCAGAGCTGAGATATCGGAACTCAAAATTTCGACCCCAAAAAAAAACGAAAGGGGTACCACTGTCGTTTTTTTTTTCGGGTCAAAATTTTGACGTCCTCTGATCTTCTTGAAACTCTGGATTATGATAGAGGGCCCTGAGAATTAGACCTGAGTGCAAAAATGGAGGCTCTAGACCCTTCCAGAGCTGAGATATCGAAACTCAAAATTTCGACCCGAAAAAAAAAACGAAAGGGGTACCAATGTCTTTTTTTTTTTGGGTCAAAATTTTGACGTCCTCTGATCTGCTTGAAAATTCTGGATTATGATAGAGGGCCCTGAGAATTAGACCTGAGTGCAAAAATGGAGGCTCTAGACCCTTCCAGAGCTGAGATATCGAAACTCAAAATTTCGACCCGAAAAAAAAAACGAAAGGGGTACCACTGTCGTTTTTTTTTTTCGGGTCAAAATTTTGACTTCCTCTGATCTTCTTGAAACTCTGGATTATGATAGAGGGCCCTGAGAATTAGACCTGAGTGCAAAAATGGAGGCTCTAGACCCTTCCAGAGCTGAGATATCGAAACTCAAAATTTCGACCCGAAAAAAAAAACGAAAGGGGTACCACTGTCGTTTTTTTTTCGGATCAAAATTTTGACGTCCTCTGATCTTCTTGAAACTCTGGATTATGATAGAGGGCCCTGAGAATTAGACCTGAGTGCAAAAATGGAGGCTCTAGACCCTTCCAGAGCTGAGATATCGAAACTCAAAATTTCGACCCCAAAAAAAAACGAAAGGGGTACCACTGTCGTTTTTTTTTTTCGGGTCAAAATTTTGACGTCCTCTGATCTTCTTGAAACTCTGGATTATGATAGAGGGCCCTGAGAATTAGACCTGAGTGCAAAAATGGAGGCTCTAGACCCTTCCAGAGCTGAGATATCGAAACTCCAAATTTCGACCCGAAAAAAAAAACGAAAGGGGTACCACTGTCGTTTTTTTTTTTCGGGTCAAAATTTTGACGTCCTCTGATCTTCTTGAAACTCTGGATTATTATAGAGGGCCCTGAGAATTAGACCTGAGTGCAAAAATGGAGGCTCTAGACCCTTCCAGAGCTGAGATATCGAAACTCAAAATTTCGACCCGAAAAAAAAAAAAACGAAAGGGGTACCACTGTCGTTTTTTTTTCGGGTCAAAATTTTGACGTCCTCTGATCTTCTTGAAACTCTGGATTATGATAGAGGGCCCTGAGAATTAGACCTGAGTGCAAAAATGGATCATATCCATATCATAATCCAGAGTTTCAAGAAGATCAGAGGAAGTCAAAATTTTGACCCGAAAAAAAAACCGACAGTGGTACCCCTTTCGTTTTTTTTTCGGGTCGAAATTTTGAGTTTCGATATCTCAGCTCTGGAAGGGTCTAGAGCCTCCATTTTTGCACTCAGGTCTAATTCTCAGGGCCCTCTATCATAATCCAGAGTTTCAAGAAGATCAGAGGAAGTCAAAATTTTCGACCCGAAAAAAAAACGACAGTGGTACTCTAGACCCTTCCAGAGCTGAGATATTGAGATCCCACGGAGCATTTATGCCAGTATAAATATCTCAATATCTCAGCTCTGGAAGGGTCTAGAGCCTCCATTTTTGCACTCAGGTCTAAGTCCCATGGCCCTCTGTCAGAATCCAGAGTTTCAAGAAGATTGGAGAAACTTATTTTTTCGACCCCAAAAAAAAAAAAAAAAACCACAGTGGTACCCCTTTCATTTTGTTTTTTTTTTTGTGCGAAAAAATAAGTTTCTCCAATCTTCTTGAAACTCTGGATTCTGATAGAGGGCCATGGGACTTAGACCTGAGTGCAAAAAATGGAGGCTCTAGACCCTTCCAGAGCTGAGATATTGAGATCCCACGTAGCATTTATGCCAGTATAAATATCTCAATATCTCAGCTGTGGAAGGAAGCTGAGTTATATTTATATATATATTCATATGATATGCTATTATATTGTACATTCATGTCATTGTTATCCTATGGACTAAACTATTATAACCATCAAGGACATGAATTTATTGAGAAAAGGAACATTTGCCAGGTACGTGCTGTTTATTCAAAGAAATAGCTTTATTAGCACAAACACACAACTATGTACAAAGCTAGGAGAACATCTTCAAAACACAGAAAACATGTCCTCCACCCTCTGGAAACATGGGACAACATACACACAGCACTACAGTTCTACAAATAAATCACAATTCAATATTGCATCTTTATTCAAAAATAAATTGCCCTGAATGGCATCAGAATTGGGCACCATATATATCAAACACAATACACAGTGGAGGCAGGATTATGAATAAATAATAAGGATGTAATTTAAAGGGATAGTTCACTTTGAAATTAATTTTTGATATGTTTTAGCTTACCTCAAGGGTATCCAAGATGTAGGTGTCCATTTCTGCAGTATTTTAAATTGACATTTTTCAGTCAAACGGTTGTTGACTATCAGGCATACACTGGAGGCTAAGGGGGTCCACCAAAAAGCATGCACAGAGAAGTCAAAATTAAACATGATTTAATGACTTATAAATGTAAGTACACATTGATGGCCTAAGACACGAAACGAGTGGTTTGTGTGAGAAAACGAACAGTATTTATATCGTTTTTACCTCTTGTAATCATAGCCATGACAAAATGATCTGACTGCACGGGCGCTTCGGTCTGCGCATGCGCCGGAAGTGATCGCTTGCGTGCCTACGTCACTCTTTGTTAATATAGAGATTTCAGAAGTTTTACCTTTCACTAAACATATTTAGATATACGGGAAACAGCAATGGAAGATGATTTCGGTATATCTAAATAGGTTTAGTAAAAGGTAAAACTTACGAAATCTCGATGTAAATATTGAGTGACGTCACATGCAATCGATCACTTCCAGCGTAACATTGAACTGATTCAGTTCGGTTCAGTTGGACATTGCACAACTGATTCAGATCACTTGGACGTCACTGTGATTACACAAGGCAAAAACCCCCCGATATAAATACTGTTCGTTTTCTCACAAAAAACGCTCGTTTCGTGTCTTAGGCCATTAATGTGTACTTACATTTATGAGTCATTAAATCACATTTAATTTTGACTTCTCTGTGCATGCTTTTTGGTGGACCCCCTTAGCCTCCAGTGTATGACTGATAGACAACAACGGTTTGACTGAAAAATATCAAAATTGAAAATACTGTGGAAACAAAGACACCTACATCTTTGATGCCCTTGAGGTAAGCTAAAACATATCCAAAATTAATTTCAAAGTGAACTATCCCTTTAAGTACAGATTGATGGCCTAAGACCCGAAACAAGCGGTTTGTGTGAGAAAACGAACAGTTTTATATTGTTTATATATATATATATATATATATAAACACATGCATATTTCAATATACACGAAATGCAATGGCAATGATTTTGCTATATCTTAATATGTTTAGATCTTCATAGTAAAACTTCCGAAATCTCTGTGTAAACAATGAGTGACGTACCCGTGCAAGAGATCACTTCTGGCACTTTCCGGCCAGATCTATATGTATATATAAACACACTGTTCATTTTCTCACACAAACCACTCGTTTCGTGTCTTAGGCCATCAATGTGTACTTACATTTACAAGTCATTAAATCATGTTTAATTTGGACTTCTCTGTGCATGGTCTTTTAAGACATCCCCATAGACTTCCATTATATGACTGACAGACAAGAATGGTTTGACGTTAAACATAAAAATTTAAACTACTGTGGAAACAAAGACACCTACATCTTGGATGCCCTTGAGGTAAGCTAAAACATACCAAAAATTAATTCCAAAGTGAACTATCCCTTTAAAGCTCTTAATTCAAATCCTGTAGGCTTGGCTCATCAGGGCGTAGTCAATCCTCCACCTCCAAGTCTTTGTGATGTGTGCTTGAGGTGCTCAGAAACGTTCAGCTTGATGTACTCCTCAGTGGCTGTGGAACCGAATTTCATGATCCCTTCTGCAAAGCTGAAAAAGACAAATGATTTAGATATATGCAAAGGCAATCTGCAATCATGCCCCAAGTCCCCACATTTGTAAGCAAAAATATTCCTCTGCATCCACTACCAATACTGGATTAATGCAAAGCCATCTCCACAACTGTTATCTGTAACACTTAGGCGGTCTTCAAAAGGGGACTAAGCAGACTGTACTTTGGTTGTGGACTCCCCCCCCCCCCCCCATTTTTACCTATTCTGACATGCCCAGAAAGAATGCAAATGAGAACAAGCAAAAAATGTTGTCCAACACTTTGTGGACACAGTCCTTGGTGTTCCGCCCACGCCCACCAATTGGAATAAGTTCATAATAAAGTTGATTGACACTACCAGAGAAATCAAACTATATTACATACATATACAGGGGTTGGACAATGAAACTGAAACACCTGGTTTTACAACACAATAATTTGTTAGAATGGAGAGGGCCTAATTTTGCATTCAAATACAGCACCAATTGACAGATAGAAGTCCTTCACAGTGACCAGCGGGATTATGAGCCGTTCCTCTTCCAGAACAGTGTCCAACCCCTCTCTCTCTATATATATAGACGCTTTCATCAGACGCGTTGCCATGGTGATGAGCTGGCCCAAAGTTAACTTCCGTTCTGTTGGTTTATTACTGTGTTTACTGGATAAAATGGCATTGACTACAAATGCAGTGAAAGTTAAGGTGATGAGCAGGTTGTTGAGCTGTGGAGTGCAACCTGACCTAGGGAGCAAACGCAATTTTTAAAAATAAAAATGTCAAAGTTTCCTATGAGGGAGACGGCAGTATTAAAACAGCCTAGCTATTTTTATCTGAGTGATAACCGGTACAGTGTTTCCCATACATTTATTAGTGGCAGCCCACCACATTATCAGCGCTGACCGCCACATATTGATTTCTGTGTTTTTAACAATTTAAGATGGGAAAAGTTGTAATTGATTGCAGAGTTGCGTGCAGCACGCAGCGCATATTCGCACGCTCTCTCTCTCTCTCTCTCTCTCGCAAACACATGACAGCGGACCAGTCTGTGTATTGAACGGTTAGTATCATAAACAGCGCTGCACAGATCCATCCAACATGCTGTCAATGTGGAGACCCACCTTAAAAAAAGGTTAGCAAGCATGTAAGAAGCCTAGCTAATAAGGAGAGCTACAGTATGTTAACCTTATCAAACCCCGCCGTTGCGCTCGCCACAGTTTTTTTTTTTTTTTTTAACACTGCGGTAAATCAGACACGTGACGTCGGTAGAAAAACATTTTGTCTCCAATTTTTGTTCAACGGGTCTGGTAGTGTCAAATTTCAGTTTGGCCAGGTAACATTTATTTTCTTTGACTGGCAAGAAATACCAGCTACTAGGTTATTTACTTGTTATGGATTGTCTCCGCAAGTCTGCCGGAAGTTAAGTTTGGGCCAGATTAATACACATGAGCAGTACCGTTTGTTTATGTTGTCACTGCTGAAAGCGTCTATATTTATAAATATATATGAAGAGTTTAGATGCAAAAGCCTCTAAGTGCCATTTGAAATTCTCTTCTAGAATGATCATTTTTATCAAGCTTGTATATTTAAGTTCAGTTATTTCACTTAAATGCCAATGAAGATTACCTATTAATTGTCATTTAAGTGTCAATTAATAACTTAAACATATGAGCTTGATAAAAATGATCATTCTAGAAGAAAATCTCAAATGGCACTTAGAGGCTTTTGCATCTGAACTATACATATATATTAATTTATTCTAGGCTATCCATTACTTCCAGACTTGTAAAAACCTACCAGGGTATCAAAGGCATGTGCATCAGAGAGGTGATGCTCCTGTAACTCAGTCCTCCATGGTGTCAATCCTCTCTATAGGGACAGCTGAAGAGGCAGGCTGCGTTTCCTTCAGGCGATGGCGGTTGTCAACCAGTAGATTCAGGACCTTTTTCTGGAACACTGAAATAAACAAACACATTTGGTGAGGATTACAATGCTCTAATTAGAATAGCAAAGTTTGCTAGCTCACAAGAGAGAAGGTGTCTATTAAAAGTGTCTTCTCCACTGCCAATATCTCAATACTTACCACCAAGGCAATGGGAAGGCCAATCTCCCAGTCTCAGTCACTCCATCTATACCACAAAAAATGTGTTTTAGAAGTTATTATCAAATGATGAAACTGAACAGATTTAAAAGATGATAAATAATAAATCTGCAATATTATAACAATTAGAGGTACATGTATAAAACTTGCTGAACTGCAAAGTACTTTGATGAAAATTGTGGCCTTAATTGTAAAAAAATTCTAAATTTCTTGATTTCTTGTTCAAAGCAATGTGTGCACTGCTTAACAGGCAGCCAGTGTAATATAACTACCACCTGAATAGCAAAATAATCCTAAATGAGAGTAGTGTGAACGCAGCCGGCAACTCACCATGCCTGTCACCATGGGCTGCTGAGATCACTGCGCTGTGATCTTTTATCATGTCTGGACCTGGCTGGGGGACTGGGGGCATCACTATGGGATCGGTCTTCATGGATTTATTAGTTCCATATGGTTATACCTGAAATTAAAATAATTTTGTTAATATAATTTATAATAAGATGTTTCCTGTTGTGTTAGTATATGTGCACTGGAAGCCTCAGCATACAAACAAATTCCTTGTGTGTGCAAGCACACTTGGCAATAAAGCTCTTTCTGATTCAGATTCAAAGTAACATAGCAGTGATATGAAGACTGTGTGCCTCGCACCATCACTGTATGTGCCGTGACTCATCATGTCTGGATTTGAAGGTGTGCCTCGAACAATAATGGTGGATCTGATGGTGGATCGAACGCTGGACCTAGTAACATTTCAATTTAATAACTTTTATAAACATTTATAACTGAACATTTATAACTGAATATAACATGCCATGTTCCAAATCTCTTTGGCGTTTTCACCACTGTCTTACTCTCAAAGTCATCTGTAACCACAGACGTTATTCCAAATTAGTTTAGTTTTACTGTTTATTTGACTGGGGCCTGTTCAAAAGAAAAGAGGATGAGATCACACCACGTAACGTTACCTTGTTTAGGTGGTTTATCTCCTAACAGGGAAGGACACCTCACTTCTTACAGCACCTGAGAGACCAAACAAATGGGTTAACAAACACCTTAAAGATTTCACTCCATCACACAACAGTCAAGTGTTGCAGTTTTACAAACAAAGATAGCCTACTTGAGCATACATGACCCTGGCACATATTATTTTTTCATAATTTCTTACGATATTCAGAAAAAAAAACGCATTGGGAAAAGCCCATTGAATACCCAATACAAGTCAGCTTGATTACTAGCAAAGAATGGTAGCTAGCTTGCAGCCAGATAACAACGTGGAACCTACAGTTTAGTGTCCCAAATTGTTCAAATTGAGATGAAACTAAAAAAAAAGAATTAAGAGCAGCAAACGCAAAACAAAAAAACTGTGAAGTTAAGGCTAACGCCCTTGAACATTCGCGGCAGAAACCACAGCAGGTTTGTGAAGTTTAAGACAATAACGCTGAACTTCCAAACACTATAAGTACACATGGACATAGAATTCACTAGGCTGGACGAACTTACCTTCAATTTAGAGGAAACGATAGGTTTACCAGCGTTCATGACGGCGATGCAGGCTGAATAATATCTGTGGCGTTATTTTCTGCTTGAAAGACATGCCTGACATGTTGCCTCGGCCAATCAGAGTGGCTGACGTTACTGGTTGGATCATGATGATATGCTGCCTCAGCCAATCAGAATTACGTTCACTGGTTTTTGACTCTGGTTTAAATCCAAAGCGGCTGTCCTTGACTTTTCTGCTGCTGTTTAGTTCTTTTTATATTAGGAATAAGGTGGATAGACATAATAAAGGCTACCATGAAATGTAAAGAGACATATATGCATAAATAAATAACTTGATTAGGCTACTTAAAATAAATAAACCAGTAAAAAAATGTAAAAAAAAAAAAGACAAACATCTGGTTATAACTGTGAATTAACATCCAAAGATGTAATCATATATTTTGAAAACTGCTTCTGTAAATGTTATGATAAATCTTAAAATTTTATTAGGTAAATTTCCTATTCATAAGAGTAAAATGAATAATTCTGATTTTCAGTTTTCAGTATGTCTCTCAGATCGATACAAAATTTAGTGATACAATTGTATTTGCTAAAGAATATTGAAGCTAATTGAAAAGTGAATTAATGTGTATGCTATTTTCTTTCTTTAAGTAGTACAAATTACTGGTTTCTAACTTTCTCTTAAATCATTATATTATACATAATAGATAGTCCTTTCCCCCTTTTTATTTTATTTGTATAATTCTGTCCTATTTTTATTTGTTTTATTTGTATGTGTAATGTAAAAAAAAAAAAAGGCAATTAGGTTATACTGAGCCTGATCTATTTCTATCAGAGATTGTCATAGAATGAAGTTATTCCTTTCAGAAAAATGTTACCTGGGGTGAAACTCCCCTACAGACGCAAACAATCAGAGTTATATTAAACAATGTCCTGGCCCTTCCAAGCTTTATATTGGCTGTAAATGGTTTCTGTTTTGAAAGTCCATAAAAGTGCATCTATCCATGATACAAGTGCATCTATCCATCATAAAAGTGCATCTATCCATGATAAAAGTACATCTATCCATCATAAACGTGCATCTATCCATAATAATATATATTCATATAAAATATTTTAAATATTCATATTTAAGTTGCGCTTTAGATTTAAGTCAAATCCATATGTTCTTTTGGTCGGAAATTATTTTACTTTATAAAGTTTTAAATATGGATATTTTTCTTACATCTCCATCTTCCTCATTACTCCACATAAAGTCAACATCTGAGATATTTTCATCAGCTGTGTTCAAACACTTCAGAACTGTATATTCTGCACATGAAAAAGTTTCAAAAATTTATCAGTACTGTGATATCTATCTATCTATATATATATATATATATATATATATATATATATGTATATATTATAAAATAAATTTCAATCAGCATCACTGAAAATGTGACTTCAGTAACAGTCTTTCAAACCTACTGTCCATAATAGACAGACACATTTAAAAAAAATCCTGATTTAAAACGTGCAATTCTACAGTCGATTTTAACTTTAATTAATAAGTTCAATCTTTCTATTTTACATACAAACTATGAAATACTGGCAAACATATATACAAAATGTAAATACACCTTAGAAAATGTTGCTTGGAGTGAAGTGCTGCCATGCTTCTCTTCAATGTAGAGTTTATATATATATATATATATATATATATATATATATATATATATAATTACCTACATGCAGAGCTTTACTGGCATTTGATTGGATGACAAACGTCCAATCTCATGGACTGCAGGCTTTAAACTAGGTGAAATGCTCCAGAAGTTAAAAAAAGGGGGCTGACATGTGATGTCCATTTGTAATGGACACAGGATCTAATTGGGTTAAGTGCATGTGGGTATTTAAAGTGTACTTTTTCTTCTTGTAATTTGGTTACTACAATAACAGGTTTCTACAAACCAGTAGGCTACGATTTGAGACACACATAATATAAAGAAAGAAATTAATTATTTATTTCTGTTTAACTGCTCCTTCACATCTGTGCTCGACTGAAGAAGAGTCATACTTTTTCATACACATACTTAATAATATCAGCCATGCAATTTGATATCATAAGTACGACTGATGTGGTGAATAACTTGATTTAGCGCCAATCATATTATCAAATCCAATAATTCAAGGTTAATGTAAATCAGGGGGAGTTCATTTATCATTTTCCTTACTGCCAGGTTTCCATTGGAGCATTATGTAAAATGTGGTTTGGTTCGTATTACTTTTCCATAAAATTATGCCAGACCCAACACGGGTTTAAAAATGAAACACTCGTGAGCTTGAAAAAATAACATCTCGAATGCTAATTGAGTGTTTGAGGTGAAAGTAATTTCTTATGTTGTGGGTCAGAGGTTGTGGCAAAGCAGTTTGTCTATTTTTCACGTTCAAGCTTACAATTACAGTCAGGTTGCTGAGGAACCCTGTCATCACCACCATCAATAACATCCACTATAGTGTGTTCGAATAATTTATAATAAAGAAATGTCAGTCAGGTTTGTGAGCTCATTAGCGAGCTTGATAAATAGGCAAGCAGGTCTGGTTATGCTCAAGACAATTTAAAATGATTGAATTTACAGCTCAAGTATATGATTGTGTTATGATCAATCAGGAAAATAAATAATACATATTCCATCTAATTACAAATGAGGATCAAAAAAGCGAGCATTTTTCTTGGGACCCCGGCCTTGACAATGTGTACATACAAAGAATTGAGAGTTGTTTTTAAATGTTCCAGTGTACAGGTGTAGGCTATTTGAACTATTAAATTCTCAGCTTGTTCTGCATAAGAAAGGATAGTATGGTTTGGCAACCACTAGAGAGCGCCATGAATCTTGTCTCCTTGTTGTCTTTATTGATTGCACATCATTTTACTTCCAGGGTGATTTCGTCATGTACTTGTCGATTTTTTATCATAGAAATAAAACACTAACTCTACGTGAGGATGATCATTCTAAAGAGTTAGTTACATAATTTAAACACCAAAACATACAGTATCATTGATCCTTGATTTATTCTTGCCTATTGGGAAATCTTATTAAAGCCAAAAAATTACATTTAGAGTTCAATTCACTGCATCAACCAAGCTTGCTGACTATTCTGGAATCATGGTCAAATACAGGCAATTTTGTGTATAAGCATTAAAATACATTTTAAAAAGATTATTTAAATATGTTAATATGCACTATTTTAACGACAAGTCAAAGCAATGTAGCTGTTGTAGAAAAAACTAACAAAGGATACAAGTCACAGCAGCAATCGTTCTCCCCTCTGTTTAAAGTTTATGGCACGTCTAACTCGAGACTTGGGTATCGAAGTTATCCTGAGCTTCTCAGTGGGAAATACAACTACTGTAGGGTGTTCATGTCAAATTTTTAATAATTCCGAAAGCAGCGTTAGTTTGGTGACAGGATCCTGACGCTAATGTGTTTGTCTTGTTCTTATGTGAGCGTATGGCTTTTCTGGATTGAGTGTTTGGGGAATGGTGTCTGGATCCTGATACATGGATCTAATCTTGGTTCAGTTTCGGGGGCTTGAAATCCATGCTCCATGCATTTCTGTCTGTCTTGTGTCTTTTTTTCTGGGCACATGGCAGAAGAGAGTGTTTGCCATGAGCTCTTCTGTTGTTTTCTGTTGGAGCACATGACTTGTAGTGCAGTTGGTTTGTCATCTGCTCTTCTGTCCTGTATGTTGTTGTTTTCTGTTGGAGCACATGACTTGTAGTGGAGTTGGGGAGTTGGTTTGTCATGTGCTCTTCTGTCCTGTATGTTGTTGTTTTCTGTTGGAGCACATGACTTGTAGTGCCATTGGTTTGTCATGTGCTCTTCTGTCCTGTATGTTGTTTTCTAATGGAGCGCATGACTCGTAGTGCCGTTGGTTTGTCATGAGTTCTTCTGTCTTGAGTGTTTGTGTGAGCACATGGCTTCTGCATGTTTGTTTGCCATGTGCCTTTTGCACATGGCTTTTGTTTGTTTCTGTATGTGTGCCATGTGCTTTTCTGTGTCTCTAGTCTTGGCGACATTCTTTTCTTACCTGATTATTGGTTTATTTGCCTTACCTGCTCTCCCTTGTTACCCTTCAGATTTCCTTCCTGTTCATTCTCCCTTTGTCCTTTGTCCTGTGCTAGTTTATTGTAGACGTTTCCCTAATAGGTGTTGCTGTCCAGCCCTGGCTTACTGGGGCCTGTACCATGATGGTAGTTGAACAAACTCAAGGTTGCAGGATTAGTTTCGAGTTGACAAAACCATACCAATCCAACCAGGCTTTGATCCTGAGCTCAGGAGTTTATGTTTGACACCATGTAGTGAACACCCAATCACATGCTGAGAAAGAGTGAAACTCATTCAAAACTAATTGAAACTGATTTCTCGCGAGGGAAGTAGCGCAATTCACTTATTAAATAAAAGTATAAAAATATTAAGAATTTAAACAAATTTACACAGCAAGAAGATAGCTGTTTGTGAAAGAGGACAACTAAAAGAAAGTCTCGCTACTGTATATCAGTGCAAGTAAAAGTTGTGAAGATATTTATAGACCATTTCACAAGATGTAAACAACACTGGCCCAGAAGCACTTCCTGTTTCAGTTTTTTAACACTACATAAAAGCTGGGATAAAATACAACCAACAGGACATTTAAAACTAAATCAAAAAGTTAAACAATCATCTTTAAGATGTTTTCTTTACATGTGAAATAAAGAAAACAGTTACAAACTGAAACAGGAAGTGCTTCTGGACCAGTGTTGTTTACATCTTGTAAAAATGCAGTTGATAAAGGTATAGAGAGAATTGAACATTTAAAGGGATACTCCACCCAAAAATGAAAATTCTGTCATAATTTACTCACCCTCAATTTGTTGCAAACATGTATGAGTTTCTTTCTTATGCTGAACACAAAGGAAGATATTTTGAAGAACGATTGGAACTTTTGCACCATAGTATTTTTTTTTCTACTATGGAAGTCAATGGTGCCAAACAATTGTTTGGTTCCAATCATTCTTCAAAATATATTTTTCTTTTGTGTTCAGCAGAAGAAAGAAACTCATACATGATCTTAAATATGTGATCTTACAAGCTTACAACGAGCTTAACTTCAACAAATAAAGAAGGAATAACCTTTATAATTTTTAACACACTTTATTCAACACACATTAACATACAATAAAGAAAATGAATTTATAAATAAATTAATTTTTTTTTTTAACTTCCATAGGAATGAAATAATTGAAAACATGATTTCAAATAACATTTCACAAGCTTACTCTTACATTCAGTTAGAGGGAGTAAAGTATATTGCGTATTTGGCGTGCTGTCCAGGGGGAGGGCTGATTGCTGAGAGCTCTCCACCTGTATTAACTAACATTACACTTGTGTTAGTTAACATTGATCGCATAGCATGCAAACATGCACTGTCGCCTCTCGCTCCGTTTTCCATTACAGATAGTACCTCCACAATAATACATGGTCGTCATAGCAGGAAACTGCCATGAGTTCTTACGAGTTGCCATAATAGTAGTATATCACGCAATCTCTGGCCAAACTATTTCAAAATGGCAGGGTTGTTCAGGATCCTCCGTCTGGCGCATGCAATGATGACAGTGAATAGTGACGATTCTCTCTGACCAATCAGCAGTCTGCAGTGTCATCACGTCACATTTTAGTATCGCCTCAGCTCGCTCAGAACCTCGCCAGAGGTGATGTGAAAAAAGTACCCAAAAGCAGGTACAGATATACAGGTACTTTTACACAGTGGAAAACCAAACAAAAGCGAGTCGAATCCAGGTAAGTTGAGTCAAGCTGGTACTGTGACTACTGTGACTAATAAGTGACTACTTAGTTTAGAGATGCAGTTTTCAAAAGATGTTGATGCTGAAACCTTTGTCCTTGCATTTGTCTCTCTTTGACCATCTACCAGCTTAGCAAGCAAGTTTCCCTAAAACCAACATGCCAATTCCTGTGCTTCTGTGGGTGGTCTTCTTCAACACAAGCTCTATCGACTGTCGGCATCTTGTGCGCAGAGCTTTGTTTGACTTCTACTGAGCACTCCCCCATGTACTCCATGGTTTACCATCACACAAACATTATAGGCAAAGTTTTGCAATCCAAATGCTTGGTGACAATCAAGTTCCTTCCTTGATGGGGCATTTTCAGCAAAGAGTCTTTTGAGAGCTTCTTGTTGCTTTGGTATACATTCCTTAAACAAACCTGTGGTAAACATGTCTTTGATAAATACCTTAAAAAATACATGCCTCAAATTATCTCCTTTAGTTTATATAGGCTATTAATTAATAAATTACTTACATAGCTTAAGCAAAGCATCAGGAGTGCCACACCGAGGACTGTGACGGCCACAACCACATAAATTGTATCACTTTTATTAAATTCCATTTGCTCAACTGTAAGATGCTCTAAAAATACAAAACACATCAACATCAGACTGTTAGTTTGCCCACTTTCATCATTCATTTGCTATTGCTGTTATTATTGCTTTTAGATTAATCAAAGCTTTAATTAATGAGCTAGTACACTCATAAAAATATGTTTTTAAGCTTAAGAGTATAAATTCATTTTTGTGGCCATTAAAAATCCCCACGCTTACCATAGACCTTCAGAACGATTTCGCCTTCCTGGTTCTGATGGCCAAGAGGAGCAGACAGAAAGCAGTTATATATTCCACTGTCTTGTTCAGTTACATTAGACAGAAGAAGGCTCTGTGTTCTCTCGAGCAGGTCAACCTCTCGTTTGACACCATTGTATTTTTCCACTTTGCCATTGTTTTTAGTTAGTCTTACAAGACCGGTTATCATTCGGGGAGGCCCTTCAATAATCTGTAAAACAGAAGTTTAATTCAATAAGCTAAACAACATCTTCATTTAAAACAACACTGAACATATCTCAAGTAGCTAGAACATATAGGGACTAGCCTAATTTGTATGAAGTACCCTGACAAAAATGTAAAAGCAAAAAGTACTGAATAGCCTACATGAAGACAATTTAAATATTAATATTAATCACTGAAAATGTCATAGCTGTCATCTAGATAGTTTTAGTGGTTACTGAAGCAAAACGAATTCATCTAGTAAACAAAAGATGATAGGGGGAAAGCAAGGTTCTCAGAAAAGTATACAAATGTTGAACTTTACCTTGTACCATGTCACCGAGCGGTACTGGACACCCGCCTTTGATTTCGCAGCACAAGGCAACTGGACGTCCTCGCCAATGACAGTGCGAATCTCATGCCGTACACCCTCCGCCACAGCTGCAAATAAAACACCTCATGTCAACCTGGATCAGAGTCTGCGTGAAAACATTCGCAGGAATACGGGTGGAGTCTTACCTAAAGTTACAAGACATACGATGATTTCCGAGAAGTACTGCATGGTTCTGGATATCTTGGTCGGTGTCGAGACACTGTCGACATGGTTTATATATAGCGCTTGCTTTTGGGGAAGTTGGAAAATCCCACACGCGACTGAACTCCACTAAAGATAAAGTAGGTGAAACCCGGAACCGATGTGATGGTGTGTGTTTACAGTTTAACTTACTTTCATTGTTGCAGTGACACCTGCTAGACTCAAGCGATGATTCGGATCAACGAAGTTTTCGTGATATCGCTATCGTTTTTTTGTTGGCCTGGTAAGATCTAATTTAAATACAAAATGCCATCTTCACATTTATTCTCGATATAAATTGCTGAGACTTGAAGTTATGCAAAACATGTGCGATGACAAATGACGTAACGTTAGCGTTTATTTACAGTCCGTTGCAGTGAGCCTGATATAGACACGAACGGACAATGCTTGGTGTTGTTCATATTATTATTATAATTAACGTTATACCTGCACGTGTAATGTTTTCTGAATTGTATCTCTGTGCTTGCGGCAGTTCTTTGAGAAACGCTGTAACTTATAAGCTTCTTCAAAAGGTTGATTTAACGATGCTTCTTAATCTGGTTAAAATATGTGTTCATATACGCAATTAATAAAAAAAAATAATAAATTATAAAACAAAAGGTTTGCTAGACAGTTAAAGATTAACTGGGAAACCCCCCCTGGGATTCTCCCCATATTACGCAATTACTCACACGGCAATTTCAAATCACGTGCCGAAATAAAAGAGAGCGAGTTATGTTTTAACACTTCTCATCATGATTGTTTTCTGGTATGTATTTAACTTATAGTAATTTTTCAGCTAACCAAATATTGCATGGACTATCCATATCTATCATGATGTCATCTGTTTCTGATCTATCTATCTATCTATCTATCTATCTATCTATCTATCTATCTATCTATCTATCTATCTATCTATCTATCTATCTATCTATCTATCTATCTATCTATCTATCTATCTATCTATCTATCTATCTATCTATCTATCTATCTATCTATCTATCTATCTATCCTCAGTCTCGACTATAGTCACAGAGACAACACAAATGTACAACTGCACGGAAGATTTACACCATGCAGAATCTGAATATGCGAAGAAGCATCCATACTGTGATCAGTATTGGTCTGCACAGGAACTTGTGAGTATAATAAAGAATTGATTGAAATGAAGTAATAGATATATAGAGAATACGTATGTAATATACTCTGAAACTTACTGACTTTCATGCTGTTTCCCTTAGTCCATTGGGACGTATTTAAGATCCACCTTGGGGTGTCACAGTCCATGCAAAGAGTTGGTCGTTGGTAGGATCACATTGACTGAATGTGTCAATATCACCCTGTCTGTAATATGCACACAAGTGAGTCATTTTCTGTGCACTACAGGGCATGTCTTTTAAGAATCTGCATTTGAATAGCACATTAACCTAATCTGTCTCTTTACATTGTTAAGGATGATTTGACTGAACACCGTGTGCATTTTTATGGTAAGTTTATTTTCTGCCAATAATATATGACAAGTTATAACAAGTATGTGACAAGTTAATGCTTTAACACATTTGTTGTTGTTTCGTTTTAGGCATAAGGGTTCCTCAATCACTGGACAAACCTGCGAAGAGAGGTCACATTGGTAAGAAAAAACAGAATGTGTGTGTGGGTTGAGGGGTACTACAGTCAACAGTTCTGTCATTTAAGAGGATTTCTCTGTTTGTTTATCTCTTTTTGTATTCATTTTTGTAGGTATTTTCCTGTCCATTGCCTTGCTGGTCATAACCATAATTGCATATCTACTATATGCTGGATGCAATCAAAACACTCACTAAGATATTGGAGGAAGAGAACCTTCAACAGAGATTCAATTGAATTTATTTTTGTTAGCTTCATAGCATAGGAATTAGCGATGCACCGATACTTCCAGTTCTGATTATACGATATGGATATAGTTTGATTCTCTATAGGAAAGAAATTCTCTCCCAACTAATGCTGTAAACTGTACAGGGAACCCTCTCATTTGGTACATTAATGTATATAGAGTTTAAAATTTATTTTAAAATGTAAGGCTATTTATTTTTAGATATAATAATTACTCTCAATTAAAAACTGAAATGTTTGTATAACACATTTGCACATAAGGGACAAACACTTGTCCTATTGGCAAATTTATAATAATTAACAGTAAATAAGCTTCTCTTCCATTTTTTTTATTATTATTTATTGCTAACTATCAAATTGTAACAGTAATTTTAATAACTTTCCAAAGGTAAACGCAACATTAACTGACATTTTACTCACATGCTGGTTTATTGAAGTCTTTCCGTGGTTGAAACACAGATTGAGCGATGACATGAGACATTTCAACAATGAAGCTGTGAACTTCACATACTTTTTTAAAATCCAGAATTTAGTGGATCCTGGAAAGCGTTCATTGTCACAGAAAAACACCACGGCATTCTTCTTCCACGAGGGGTTTTGGCATTACAGCATTAGTTTCCATTCGGACCATTAAAGAACGTGACATGCGTGTCTCCCACACATCCCGTAGAATTCAACCAATCAGACCATGACCTCAAAGTGTTTCCATAAAAGTGTCTCATGCATCAGACGTTCAGACAACAGTTTGTGGGCGTGATGTCTGAGGCTGAGGCTAGCATCACATAGGCAGCCCTAAATTTAAGAGGAGACATTTTCTTCACACAAAATATTTTTTTTCCGCCCCCTTTTGATTGACCGGATATAATCGGCCATTACCAATTTTTGCCCAATACATCGGTGCATCCCTAATAGGAATAGAACATCCACTTTATATATGGTTTGTCTAGTGTTATTGTAGTAAACTAAAACCATAACAATTTTTTACACATTTCACTTTAGCTTGTTGGAACATTTCTCATTTTCATTTAGTTTAACTTGAGATATTAAAATAAAATTATATAAAAAAATTAAAATAAACACTCAAATGTGTACATAAAAGTTTGTGTAAATGGAGACACATGAAAACACATCATTTGGGTTTGAAGTCTCCCCAAGGTGCACAATTCTATATTATGCTGCCCATGAAATGTTGCCAGCAGTATTAATAAATCGAAATACTTTATGTACTTTTTTTTTATACAAATAGCTGTGTAAATGGCGACACATGAAAACACTTCATTTGGGTTTGATGTCCCCCCTATATCATGCTGACAATAAAAAAATTATACAGCATTACATATATTTTTTTATTATTATTAATTAATTAATTATTAATTCAACTATTTTTGTATTTTCTTTGCTTTATATCTACCTCTGATGGATTGTATGTTTTGCTGCTAATCCTGTTTTTTTTTTAAAAAAAATAAATGCTGCTTTTTTTAAAAACTGAAGATTCATATAAATGTTTTTAATTGTGTTTAAAGTATACAAACCATATTTAAGGCCACTATAGTAAAAACAAGACCTTAAGAACCAAATCAAACAATGGTAAGTCACATGTACCAATACTACTTTAATATATGTTTAGGAATAAACATACATCTTTTTTACATCGACCATTCTAGAATTTTTAGGTTATTAAATGTTTAGTGATGTGAAAAGACATTATTGCCCTGTTATAAGCAAATGCATTCACATAAGATAAAGCATTTTCCTAAATAGATTTTACAGTCATTCAAAAATGTTTGATAATGACCTGAACACAGACCAGAAAATGCTGTGGTTACACTATAATAATGACACACGATCGTACACGGTTTACAAAAAAATTGTCTTTAATTCAACTTAATGCATCAAAAGGGAAATACATATTTCCCTGAAACTACTGGGCAAAAGAACTGTATTGTCTCTAAATAATTTAACGCTTGTTTTTAGAGAAAATAAAACATGATATTTCAGGAAACAGTAGATGTATATTTAAGATTCTTTACAAAACTATTTACATGTCTGTACTGTATACATGAAACCAAAACATAGTCGATGAATGAAAGCAAAAGTGCTGGCAGTATTGATTTGTGTAGTTTCATTTGAAGCCTCAAAGAATCAAACTAGTAAAACAAAACCCGCAGAGACTTGGGGCCTCATTTATAAAGTGTGCGTACGCACAGATTTGAAGTTCAAGTTTGTGTACGCTAAAATCCACGCCAATGTTCAGAAGAAACAGTCTTTGACGTCTAAAAGTGCTTAGCGCTACGTCAGGGTCTGAGCAGACGTCAGAGATCTCTTTGTCTAAATCACACGTACGCACATTTGAGAAATGATCAGAAGATCAAATGTTGCATGGTTTCTACGCAACAATTCATAAATGAGACCCTTGATCTCCAGGTTTTGACTCCAGTCTGTCTCGATTCCAGTCTGCACCCAACAGCACAACTCATGGTCTCTGGTAGAAAGATCCTTCTGTCCCAGGTCAATCACAATCCTCCCTGTTTTCAGGCCTGGCTGAGAGGGCCTTTGACCAATCCCATCTCTTTGCGCAATACCGGTGCATGAATGCTGCAGTCTCGCGCCTCGCACACGCCAGGTATTCCTGCACTACCAGCCATGCCAGGCTGACCCACACGCCCAGGAAACCCACGAGGTCCCTGTGGGCCCTCAATGCCATCTTTAGGTTCTGCTGGATGGCCTGGCAGTCCTGTTTGGGGAAATACACCAGAGTTACTCTAACTACATCTAATCCACAGTTATTGGGGGACGTTTCAAACCTGTAGATCTTTTAAGGAACAATGAGCCAAAGCACTGACCACCAATAACCACCTGTCTAATGCTGCTTGTCCAAGTGTGCCAACAGAACAGAGCACACTTGCTGAACCATGGATTCAACTAGACCTCCGAAGGTGTCCTGTGGTATCTGGCCTCAAGACATTAGCAATAGATCCTTCAAATCCCTTAAGTTGTGAGGTGAAGCTGCAGTTGATCGGACTTGAGGAATTTGGAGGCCAGGGAAACACCTTGAACTCATGTTCCTCAAGTCATTCCGGTACAATGTGGAAGGGTGCATTATTCTGCTGAAAGAGGCTATTGCAATCAGGGAATAGCATTGCCAGAAAGGAGTGTACCTAAGTTAGCAATGTTCAGATAGGTGGCAAGTGTCAAATTGATGTCCACATAAATGGCCGGACCCACGGTTACCTGGCAGAACATTGCCCAGAGCATCAAACTTCACCCACCAACTGTCATCTTCCCGCATCTTGTCCAGTTCGCACTATAATGGGTACACTCATGAACCCATTGTAGGGGCTTTCAACAGTGGACAGTGGTCATCCCTTTGAACGGTCCCTTTGACCGGTCACTGTGATGTGACGCATTGCTCCCATAAGCATGATTAAAATGTAGTGTGACTTGTGCCACAGTAGACCTTCAGTCGGTTCAGACCAGACAGGATAGCCTTTGTTGCCCTCACATCAATGAGCCTTGGGCGCCCAACACCCTGTTGCTGGTTTGTCCCACTGGACCACTGTTGGTAAATTATCACCACTGCTTATCAGGACCCACAAGCCTTGCCTTTTCAGAGATGCTCTGACCCATTAATCTGGCCATATCATTTTGGCCCTTGTCAAAGTCTCTCAGGTCTTTACTCCGGCCCATTTCTCCTGTCTCCATCACATTGACTACGAGAACTGATTGTTCGCTTACCATCTAACCAACCCAGACCATGACATGTCACATTGTTAGGGTATGATCAGCATTTTTCGCTTCACCTGGGTGAGTGGTCATAATTGTTTTGGCTTTTCAGTGTATACACATTGGTCTTTCAGGTCAAATTGCTTTCTCAGCACAACCAAACTGCCCAGAGTTTTCAATAAAACAATTGACACTTGTTTTGCCCCCAGTTTGGTTAGTCTTTTATGAAAATATCAATCACACTCAAATCAACACCAACAGTTCTGAGATCCCATGAACAAGGTGGTCTAAACATGCCTTATTTGGTGCAGATCCAAGTGTGACTGGCATATTCAAATAAGCCTAAATTAACTGAACCAAGGGTGAAAACACTAGTCTCCAAAACCAAGTGAACCAGGTATGAAAATGCCCCAAAATTACCTCTGAGACCTTGGTGACCATCATGCCCAGGAAGACCTTTGCCAGAATCACCTCTCTGTCCTTTCTGACCTTTTGGACCTTTAGAAAAACACAGTGAGCTCATCTGTATGCATGAACAGCTTTTTTGTTTAGTTAAAACTTTTAACAGTGATGTCGGCACAGTACCTATGTCCCCTGGAGCTCCTTTCTGGCCCTCTAGACCTTTCATGCCTTGGGGGCCTCTTTCTCCTTTAGCACCTGCCTTTCCTGCTTTACCCTGTATGAAATACAATGTGTTGAAAAGTAAGAGTGCTTTTTTATATGACAGATTTGTGTCAACTCGTAGATCAACTCACTGTTTTTCCAGAACTTCCTGGGGGTCCCGTGACACCTGGGGGTCCGATAAGGGTACGGTTGTTGATGGGACAGCCCTGTACACATTTGGCATGTATAGATGCAGCATACTGGGAGATCTGAGCAGTGACCACACCTTGACACAGCTGCAATATCTGCTCATCCGTCAGTCCTGGACCCTGCACAGAGCGAGTTGTACAAATGTTTTCTGGCCCAAAATTCTTTCATACACCCTAAATTAATTTATTTCTCATAATAATAATGATGATACTCACATGTTCACCTGGCTCTCCTTTCGGCCCACTCTGTCCTTTCCCTCCCAGGTCTCCGCTAGGTCCTTCTTCTCCTCTGGGACCTGGAAGACCTGGAGGTCCAATAGGACCAACGAGCCCATCGCGGCCAAGACGACCCTTCACTCCACGCTACACATAAAAATAAACTTTTACTTGTGATAAACAACAGGATTTGTTTTTTTTTAGTACAATAAATTGATCAAAAGTGACACTAAAAGTTTTTAAATTGTGACAAAAAAAAATCGATTTAAAAAAAGTTTTATTATATTTCCGCAAAAAAATATTGAGCTGTTTTTAACATTGATATTATTGGAAATGTTTCTTTAGCACCAAATCAGCATATTAGAATGATTTCTGAAGGATCATGTGACACTGAAGACTGGAGTATAAATTACATTACATAACATTTTAAAACAGAAAACATCTATTTTAAATTGTAATAACATTTCACACTATTACTGTTTTATAAGAAAATTTCAAAAACATAAAATTATTTACATATATAAATCATTTTAAAACTATTATTATTATTGGAATTTTTCTCTTTTAATAAATAGGCCAATGGAAATTGAGAAGAAATACTGTGGAGAAACAGTGTAGTCCGAATTCAAACCTGCATCCTTGTACGTCATGAGCTTGTGGACTACCACTGTTCCACGGCTCTGACGCAAAATAGTTTCACTCGATGACAAACCTGGCCTTTGTCACCACGAGATCCAGCGTCTCCCTAAAACAATGATGAAATTATGGTTAAAACAAAAAACTGTGGCTAGTGTAATGGAAACAGGAAGAGGAACTGTAATGGCTGATACCTTATCTGCTTTAGCACCCTTCCCCCCTTTTCGTCCTTGTGTCCCCTGAGAGAGTCATGAATTCAATAAAATCAATTCATATATTCAAATAGATCATTTTAATGGTGACATCATTTTATCTAATAACTATAAAAAGTTTGAGGCTAATATTATACTGATGTTAAATGCTTTTTATATTACCTTCTCACCATCTGGGCCTGTTTCCCCTTTGGCACCTGTAGATCAAAACAACAAATAGTGAAACTAACCATTTGATTAGGTTAATCAATAAGAAACAAAAATTAGTTAGCATACTGTGGGCCCAGGCAAGCCTTTTGGCCCAGGTTTTCCTGGAACTCCTGCATCCCCACTGTCTCCTTGTGGACCCTTTGGAAAGAAAATAAAGGAAAAGTCAAATACTTTTTGACTTTCACTTTCAAAGGGGGGGGGGGGGGGGGATCAAGGTGGATGTTCTTGATATTGCAAAACAGTATTGAATAATGTTAACAGTTCTGCTTGAGAAGAATAATTGTGTTAGTTACATAAACTGTAAATGAGTAATCGTTTATTGCCTTTTATAAGACTAAACTACATGTTTAGACTACACTATGCATAGTATTGTACAGTCTCATTTCCTTTTGGGGGAAACATTTAAGGGGAAATTCCCTACACAGCAAGTTACATGTAATGGAACTGCTGAAGGTAAAAATAAAACCTATAGTTTCACTTTCAGTCTCGGGACTGTCTGGTGAATCCCCCACCATTCAGGGACATTACTCACTGGATGACTGTTAAACCAACAGTACTAGATAATATATCAAATTTCTGGTGATTTCCAACTTCCAAAAATATGGTACACTCCCACAGAATAATAATGTGGATTTTATTTTAATCTAGAAGAGATCACATCTCAGTCAAGAGATTAACCTTGTGTGGTTTCTGATTGTGTCATGCACATTTTAAATATTTGAGAAGCGTTATATCCCCACAAAGGGCCAAAATCTTACCACGCTTCCTACTCTTCCAGATGGCCCCCTCAGACCACGATCCCCTTTCAAACCCTGAGGAAAAAAGGAAGACAGAAATTTACAAATATTTTTTGCAAACAAAAAAATAATCCTTATTTTTTACAAAGAAATGGCAAGTGGATTGTGGAAACTGAATTATGATTTTTTTTAAGTTGAAAAATGAAATAGTATTTTATACTCCTATAATCTTTGATTTATTTGCAGCTATATATATATATATATATATATATATATATATATATATATATATATATATACACACATCCACATACACATACATATATATATATGTGTGTGTGTGTGAGAGAGAAAAGACAATATGTATTTTCTCTTACCTTGGGTCCAAAAGACCCAGGCACCCCCTCAACTCCAGGAACACCCAGAGGACCCTAGAAGATATACAATTATTATTAGGAGCCAAGTACCGAAGGTGCTATTGTATCTGTTGGCATTCTTCTTCATCCGTTTCTTTTTCTTACGCTTTGGAAACCCTCAAGCGCTACCAATTTTCCAAATTTTCACTTATGTTTATGCAAATAACTTTTGAACCGTAAGGGCTATTCCTCTGATTCTTTGTCCCACAAATATTCGATGCAATTGATTGCAACTACGGTTGTAACAGTATGAGATGAAGGAGGGAACGGAGACGCCACATGGAGACCGACGAATAGGAATCTTACTAGAGAGGCCAATCTACTTCGAGTGAAACTAAACAAGCCAATACACATTGCCGTGAAATCATTTGCATCAGCTGCGCAGCCACGCAGCGCAGGTATATAACGAGCAGCTGGTCTGATTGTACTTCAGTTTTTTGCTGAGGAGCCAAGCATGAAAAAGCTGGCCAACCTGGCGGGCAGCAGCAGATGTGGCGACGGGACGTGGCGTCTCCGTTCCCTTCTTCAGGAGATGTTCTTCTTCAGTTGGTCAGTAGGAATAGAATAGGAATCCATACCAAAGGGCCACAGCTGCTGCACCCCATTCAGTGGCCTGTGCAAGCCTCTACCCCTTCTTGCCTGGAAGGACGATAGGAGGAGGACATATGGAACCCAGCCTTGATTTGGTTCTGTGCCAGGAGGATGCAATGCCTCTTGTGGAGTGTGCATGCAACCTGAGCGGGCAGGGCACGCCTTGTGCTTGATAAGCCAAGTTCTATCCACGTACATACCAATGGGACAGAGCAAAGCCAGGGCTGGGTCTGCCTCCTCCTCCAGGGGCAGCGCTTGCAGGTTTACTACCTAGTCCCTGAACGGAGCGGTAGGAACCTTGGGCACATAGCCATGCTGGGGAATCAGTACTACGTGGTTGTTACCCGGCCCAAACTCTAGGCGCGATTCGCCGACCGGAAATGCCTGCAGGTCCCCTACCCTCTTGATAGAGGCCAGTGCAACCAGCAGCAAAGTCTTCATTGAAAGAAGCTTTAAGTCTGCTGATTGCAAAGGCTCAAAGGGAGCATCCTGAAGTGCTCGAAACACCAGGGAAAGGTACAAAGAAGTTATGGAGGGGGGTCAAGGAGGATTTAATCATCTCACCCCCCTGGAAACCTGACAACCAGGTTGTGCTTTCCAACTGTTTTGCCATCTATGTGGTCGTGATATGCTGAAATAGCTGCAGAATGTACTTTGAGGGTATATAGAGAAAGCCTTAGCTCCAACCATTGCTGCAAGAAGGAAAGCACAAACACTATAGCACATCTTCAGGGGTCTTCATGGCGAGAACACCACTTGAAGAACAGGTACCACTTCAGGGCGTAAACACGTCTCGTGGACAGTGCCAGTGCTGAAGGGAAGGTGTTAAGTACCTATGGAGGAAAGTCACCTAGAACCTCCTGTCCAGGGAGCCAGGTCTCGTATGAAGCAGGCCGAATGAGTTATCACTGCAGCTGCTGCCATATGAGTCTCTGCGTGACCATTTTTAACGGTAACTTGTGGAGGCTCCAATTCAAAAACTTGCAGATCCAAGATCGGTCGTAACCCACCACCTTTTCGTGGGTACAATGAAGTAGGGACTGTAGTGCCCTGACAAAGGATTTTCCACCCGGCCCTCTTCGGAGGAGGGAGCGATGTAGTCGTCGTCTCCTGGAAAGCAGTCCCTTCCATCTCTGGGTGGCGACTAGCTCTAAGACGCTGTTTAGGTGGAGGCTGCTGGAACGGAGAGGGAGCAGGGGCAGACGCAGGAGGAAGCCCACTGTGAAGAGCAGACTGAGCCGCGGCAGTGGGGTGGAAGCAGGATGTGTTTGATGGCCTCAGTCTTGCTTCTGCACAGCCAAGAACTGCTGGCGAAGTTCTTGACTGCGTCGCCGAAGAGGAGCTTGTCGGTCTCCCGCATGTTGACCAGACACAGCCAGTTGCTGGACCACTAGTGTGGACATCGTTCGACCCAGTGATCACAAAGTTCCTGCAGAACTTGTGGATCGTGACCATCCTTGTGCAGGACCTTCGGTGCCTTGGCCTGATGGACTTGCAGCAACACCATAACGTGCATGGCAGAGGCAGCTTCCCCACAGGCCTTTTAAGCCTTGCCGGATAGGTCCGATGAGTTCCTACAGGCCTGGGAAGGAAGACATGGTTCTCTGCGCAAGTGGAGTTAGGGCACAGTTGCATTGCAACAACCTGCTACACTGGCAGGAAGCGTGTGTATAACTTAGCTGCCCAGCCATCAAGGGTGGTAAGGTAGGAGGAGCCACTGTGACGGTTTCTGGCAGTAAAAGGTGCCATCCACGTCCCATGCACTCCTGGAAGAAAGGCACTGGAGTGGGTTGCTGAGAACCAGCGCGAGCCACCCTGAGATACCAGTCATCCAGCCTCGAGGGCTCAGGACACGGTGGAGGGTTCCACAAGAGCCTGATCCTGTTGGCGGCCCGGGAAGCATGGCCATCATCCCCGAAGGAGGCAGCGGCGCAAGTCATCATCCGCGGAGAGGTCTGACCCACCCTCCGATGCAATGATAGACATCTGGACATCTGGAAAAACACCTATAAGTGAATGTGCTTTCCATTAAAGAAATCACACACAGTAAACAAAACCTTAACAAAAAAGACGGCCAAACTGTGTGCCGGTGCGGTGAGACGTACATGCGCGGGCGAGATTCGGATTGAAGTCGGTCATCCTCGGGCGCAGCGGCGTGCACACTGTTACAAAAAAAAATTGGGTCTTTGCGCACCAACACGCGACTTTTTGCCACGCGCACCTTC